TGTCTGTCTGTCTGTCTGTCTGTCTGTCTGTCTGTCTGTCTATCTATCTATCTATCTATCTATCTATCTATCTATCTATCTATCTATCTATTGGTTTATATGTCTGTTTATTTGTCCAACTGATTACATACATACATGTAAAACTCGCACAAAAAAGTCAAGGAACACAAATTCTAAGAAAGATTACTGAAGAACTGTTTAACCGAATTTATTCATTTTTTCACAAAAGATGCTTTCGACTCTCTAGATTGAGTGTGAACAATTTCAGATTTCAACAACAAAGAGAAGTTTATGTAAAATGAGTTTAAGTCACACTGGTCGGATTTCAAAAGTCTGAACAGCCAAAGTTCTTCATGAACATTGTCAATAGTGGATGTAGCCACTTCGTTTGATCGAAAACTCAGCACAGTGTCGATGCATGGACAGGACATGCCTTCGGAGAACTTGTTGGGGTAAGTTCTGCACTCCTGGACGAGGTAGCCCAAGAGTTGTTGACGGTTATGTGCAGGAGGGTGGTTGTCCCTTATCCACCGGTCAATGTGATCCCAAATGTTCTCTGTTGGGTTCAAATCCGGACTACTAGCTGGTCAGTCCATGCAGGTGACAGCTCGCTGCTGCAGGAAGTCCCCCACGACGCGTGCGCGATATGGTGTGGCGTTGTCGTCCTGGGGTCCAATCTGCTTCAGGAGAGGAACAGCAAGGGGACGCAGGATTTCCTCCCTGTACCTAGCCGAGGTCAAATTGCCCTGTATATGGTACACGGGGTCCTGTGGTGAGCTGAGAAGCCTCCCTATACCAGAACGGACCCTGCAAAGTAGGGCGCCACCTGCTGGATGCACTCAGGGTGGAACAGCTCTCCTCTGCGCCTCCAGACGTGGGCTCGCCTGTCTGGGAGCAGCAGGTTGAATCTGGATTCGTCCGAGAAGACTACCTGGTCCCACTGACAATGTGTCCACTGTTATTGGCGAGCAGGCCACGCCGGGCGAGCTGCTTTGTGGGGCGGCGTGTGCCTTGGGCGCCTGGCAGGGACACAAGAAGCTAACCTCGCTCTTCGGATACGGTTCCTTACCGTCTCCTCGCTCTCGTGGACATTGGCTGTCACCCGTAGTTGGTCCCTGATGCTGTTTGCAGTGGTGGTTCGTGACGTCACGGCCTGTTTGACGATGAACCGGTCGACGCTGTTGTTGGTCAAACGGGGCGATCCTGGTCGAGGCCTGTCCCGGACCCTTCCGGTCGCTCGCCATCGTTCTTGCAGCCTCTATATGACTGATGGAGACACCCCAAATCGATGTGCAACAACTGGGAACGTGGAGCCATCTTGGAGCCAGGTAAGGGCTCGTCCTCTGTTGACGTCAGGCACCGAGTGTTGTTGGATCATCGTGTTGTAATTAAACATGGCAGAAAAACGCTGGCTTATAAAAGGGTTGTAAGTGAGCAATCTTCACAGCTAAGACATCTGTTTAGCATGTGCCAAGCTTAGTTTTAGCTAACAGTCCCTATGCCAATGTTGCTGAGTCAGAGAAATTTAGCCTATTTTTCATGCTTTTCGGCTGTGTTTCAGAATGCCCTGCGTCGTCGCTATGAAGCTGGTGCTGGCAAATTTGCCGTACAGGCAAACTGTGTCTTGTCGTCAGTGCGTGTGCCAAGTTTGGTAGACTGATCATAACGAGTTTGTGAGATATTGAAGTTTGAATTTGACAAATGAAAACACAAGCTGTTCCTTGATTTTTTTGGGCGAGTTTTAGTAGTATCGTCTGGTGGTCAAGGGAGGGACGTAGACAAATGTGCTCTTTGGGTGCAGGCAAAGAGAGAGAGAGAGAGAGAGAGAGGGGGGGGAGAGAGAGAGAGAGAGAGAGAGAGAGAGAGAGACAGACAGACAGACAGACAGACAGACAGACAGACAGACAGACAGACAGACAGACTAACAGACAGACAGACAGACAGACAGAGAAAGTGGAGGGTGGAGGGGGTAGGGAGTTGTAGAGGAAGACACGACTTTCAATAATATACTCGTCTTGTTTGAACTATTTTAGAAAACTTGCCTGCCTTTCAGCCTCACAACTCACGGAGAGCTTACTCCCTCCACGCTGGGATCTCTGATTATATTTCTTTGTTCCTATTTTACTTCGCCGTGATCATTTCTTGTGTTGGTGTATTCTAAAAAACATACATTCATTTGTTACTTACGTTCTCTATCGTTTGACGGTTTGCACTACCGTGCAGTTATTTCTTTTTAGTAATTTTTGAGTTTTGGCTATCCCGAATCAGCAAATACAATTTTCAGAGTCAAAGCATTAGTCAGCTGTTGATTCATGTAACAAAAAGTCCAGAGAGGTAAAGGAATTTATTTTTACGTAGTTCTACATCAGAAGTAACGAGTGGGTGGTTGGTGGGTGTGATTTGATCCTTATTTTCCATCATCAAATATATATCTATCTATCGTCCTTATCTCTCCTCCTTCTTTTCTTTGTCTATCTCTTGCAACGTCTCTCTAATCTTCGACACTTGCATGGCCTATTTATGATGCAGTTTGTGCTGTTAAACTCTTACTAAAACTAAACTAAGAAAGTTCGTGGTCATTTTTGTCCGTACAGGTCATGATCCGATAGTTCTCCCATTTCATTTTAAAATTACGTTTCTACCGGCAAACGGGGGCAAGGGAGCCAACAGCCTATCCATGTAGCCCCGGATGTCTGGGTTCCATCCCCACGGAGTTCCAAGAGACTAAGTTTTAGAGAGTGTCCAGTGTCTTAGATGATGATGATGATGATGATGATGATGATGATGATATAAAAAAGTGAAAACTTGGATTATGTTTCGACATATTTACGGTCACAGGACTTTTGTAGGATCATCATAATCATCATCACCACTACCATCATTGCTTGAAAAGCATATTAGGTAGGGAGTCTTGATTTGTTTTCAGACAAAAATTATAATTACTATTTTGCAATACATTTTTGTTTACCAAGTAGTATGCTCAACGTTTCGCCACGCAGGCTTCCTTAGGAGGAACTGCAAGTAAGACTAATGTACATGTAGCACTGTATTAGTGTCAAGATCCATTGTCATCACCATCATCATAACCATCATCATCATCATCATCTCCTTTTACTTTCTCCACAGACGACTGTCTGGCCCACAAAACCGGCCTAGGGATCGGTGTACTCGGCGTCTACCAGCGCCACCTGTTGGAGAACACAGCCAGTTGACCTTGACCCTTGCAGATAGGCAGTTAAACACAATATGGAGGAATCAGGGTCAGGGCCAGGGTCAGCTTCTGATGGCCCGACACAGACTGCGCGGATTTGTGTGTTTTCGACTACTTTGTTCTCATTGTATCTTGTTTGGCGGGAAATAGAGAAATCGGAGATGGAAGTGACGTTATTGTTTTGTTTCCAACATCTTCTACTGTGATACAGTACGGAAGTTTATTGAAATAAGAGGATCAGTTGGACTTCAACTTCAAGAAAGACCGTCGACACGATATCGGCCATAAAGTTAAGTTTTGGGGGGAAATGCAAGAAAGACAGACAGAAACAATATAGGGAAAGAAAAAAAGGACCTTTCATGCCACCCAATTTGATAGCATAACTCTGAAAATCACACAAGTTTAAATGTAAAAGTTGTGTTAGGTGGCGTTATAACAGGTCTGGCCCATTTACTTATTATGTATGTGTACATAAAAAGATGGATAGTAAGCCCTATGATAAGCCTGTGGTTTCTGAAATGTGCGTGTGGGTGGCTGTGTGTGTGACAGAAAGAAAGAGATACAAAGAGAGAGAGAGAGAGAGAGAGAGAGAGAGAGAGAGAGAGAGAGGGGTGGAGACAGACAGACAGACAAACAGAACATTAGAGTTTCAAGAAGGCTGACATACAGACCAGCAAAGAGTCAGAAAGACAGACTCACAAATGTCATCCTTCTAAGCAGCAGACTCATGTGATCACAGGCTTTCCCCATGCTCAGTTTGACCTTTCAGTCAACAACTCACACCCGACAAATTAATAAACTGTACATTCCACATTATTATTCTCTTGCCAGACTTTTTAGCATGTTTATTATACAAACCTCTCTCTCTCTCTCTCTCTCTCT